GAAATGTGCTATACAAATAAAATTTGATTGATTGATTGAAAATTGACCTTTGATTGTTTGTAATTGATTACAATTACTAGCTTCATCAGTTAATTTGCTATTCACAATTATATATTTTTATATATTGCATTTGCATAAAATCTTCTTTATTAGTACACTAATACAAGCTACACAGGAACATTAGTTATTGTTTTGTTTAATATTGTTTAAAATGAATTTATTTTGAGAACGACTGTCTTAAGTCATTTTAAGAAATTGCTATTTGTGTCTTTAACTGTCTTAAGAAAACAACAACACCAGTACAGATGATGTGTCAGGAAGATGATTTCCCCTTCACTGTTATTGATGAAGTCAACTGTCAGTAATGAATCACATGGTCATCAGTCAGTTATTGGATTCAGCAATAGATTCATCAGACTTTAGGTAAATATGACTCTGATTCCTGTACATATTTAGTGTTTTTCTTTGGTGTAAAATCTGAAATGTTTCTGCTGGACAGATCCTGGAGATGCCTTATAAAGGAAAGGAACTGAGCATGCTCATCATTTTACCCAATGACATAGAAGACGATACAACAGGTCTGGAGAAGGTAGGACTCTCTCAGTCTCACAGATTAATGAATCTCTATCTTAACAGTGATGCATCTGATTATTGATATATTGTCCAACCAGCTAGAGAAAATTCTTACCTATGAGAAGTTCATGGAGTGGACTCATCCAGACAAGATGAAGAGCTGTAAGGTTGTGGTGAAGCTGCCTCGATTCAAGCTGGAGGAGACGTATGACCTGAATGAAGTCCTGACCAGCATGGGCATGGTGGACGCTTTTGACCAGACAAAGAGTGACTTCTCTGGTGAGACATGTGGAAGGAGAGTGAAATGTTTCTTATACAGAAACTGTTTTTAGCTGTTTTGACTAAAATCTAAGAGCTGGATTTCCTTTCAACTTTTAAAAAGTCCAGTTTCCTGCATTAGCATCACTTTTCACAGAGGTTCACCTCAGGCTGTTGTCAGAGAGTTTTCCACAGCCTAATAAACTACTACTTCACATCCCAGTCCACTTCTGGAACAAGAACTATTTTTTTGAGCACAGCAGATGCTGTGCTCAGATGCTGCAGTGATGACCTTTGACATATGTTTTAATCCATTCAACAGTTTATTAATCCATCCTCTCTGGAGAAAAACTATAAATTACCATGAAATAAGGAGGAAGAGCAGCCACATAACCAGACTCTTATAAATGAAAACTGATATTTATTTTAAGCATATGTTATGTTGTTATATTGTATAATTATGTAAAGTGTATTTTCTTACCTGTTACAGGTATGTCTGGAAACAAGGAGCTCGTTGTGTCCAAAGTCTCTCACAAAGCTTTTGTTGACGTGAACGAGGAGGGAACTGAAGCTGCTTCTGCTACCAGTATAATAAGTAGGAATTTCAGTGGCTATTTAAATCCATCATTCTTCAATGCAGACCACCCTTCCTCTTCTTCATCCGCCATAATCCCACCCTGACCGTTCTTTTTGCTGGTCGCTTCTGCTGCCCTCTGTGAAATTTATGTCTGCAAGATGAAAGGTTGGATTTAATGCAGCAGATATTTAGTTGCAAATTATATAGAGGGCAGTAAAGGTCAATCCAGCTGGTCAAATATTATTATCATATATGTATGCCAGATAGATTATCATGGCATACATATATGCGTCATGGGTCTTACAATTTCAACAAGGTCATGTTAAAGAACTTGCAGTCAGTTTGTATTGAAAATATTGTTTCAGACTAAACACAAAACAAATCTCATTGCACATCATGAACTGAGTCATTTAAACCTAAAACTTTTCAATTCAGTTTTAGCAATCAGTTTTCTGTATTTTAGATACCATCAACTGTAGTGAGTTTGATCAACCTGAAATTAAGTTCAGCTGTCCTTCTGGGATTTTCTTGACATTTCCCTCATGTTTTATGAAATTCATTATGTTAAACTGAGCATGATAAAATGCACTTCACTGAAACAGCAGCATAGCCATAATAAAAGATGGTGGTGGGAGTATGCTCTGGAGTGATTTCTCTTCATATTCTTTACAAATTTGGCATTTGAATTTTGGACAATGAAAAAAAGAGTATAAATAATTTTACACATGACCGTAGCCTGGGTATTTTTTCAACTCATTGATGTTCAAGATCAATTTTGACATTTGGGAAAGTTCAAGTTCTACTTAATAATACAACAGCAGAATTTGAAATCTCCAGAACTTGGAAATGTTGACTAATCCTCCCATCTTCGCCTGTCCTGACTTTGATCATCCAATTGTATTGCATATGAGTCAAAGGAAGTTGAAAAAGAAAAAAAAAAAAAAGAACAATAGACAATATAAATACAGACAATTGACAAACAATAACACAAAATCAATTCAAATAATTCCTGTTCTTCCAGATTAATCCCTATTTGAACTTTTAAACCTAATGTTTGGTTTAAGGGATGTTGTTTATTTAACCTAAATTATAGTTCTAATTTAGTTTGAACTAAGGAGGTTAATCTAATTAATTTTATTCTTTTAAAATCTATTTTAGGTGTTTAGTTTATTTTAAGAGATTATGATATATAAATATAGTTTTAATCTCCTATTTTAACTAACTCTGGTTTCTAATTTTACCCAACAAAAAAATGTACAATCCACACCAATAATGTGCGTGAATACAATTCAAAAGGAAAAAATAAAACACAATAATGATAATCCAGTAAGATGCTGAACAATTTGTGCTTCAATCAGTCTTTCCTTGTGGTGATTTTGAAAGGTTGATCCTGGTTCTCTGGATCCGCTTTTCTGAGTTCCTGGGTCAACGGCTCGTAGTCCAATTCGGCAATTTTGCTCGGAATTCCCGGTCCGGCTTCAGTAGGACTTCATAAAAAGGCCTGGTTTAATAACCACAAGCACAAAAGTCCATTTTAACCTTTCTCTGTGCCGCGCAAAGCAACACTCTAGCCAACTCGGCTCATTTGTTACATTAACGGCTTCCAACTTATACTAACGGAAATACGTTGCTCCGTTTTTCCGTTTCGGTCAATAGATTAACTTTACAAATAACATTTATCACAGAAATAAAATACAGTCTTTCACTCACCAAGTCCAACAGACAACTCTCTTAAATTAAAACTCCCCCTCCAAAAATGAGAAAAAGTTTCCAGCTTTTCGTAGCCTTGCTAATCGGCGGTTCGCTTTGATCTCCGTTAGCTTGGCACGACTCTTCACTCTTTCGCTCTCTCTCTCGGTCTGTCTCTCTCTCGGTCTGTCTCTCTCTCGGTCTGTCGCTCTCTCTCTCGGTCTGTCGCTCTCTCTCTCGGTCTGTCTCTCTCTCGGTCTGTCTCTCTCTCTCTCGGTCTGTCTCTCTCTCTCTCGGTCTGTCTCTCTCTCGGTCTGTCTCTCTCTCTCTCGGTCTGTCTCTCTCTCTCGGTCTGTCTCTCTCTCTCTCGGTCTGTCTCTCTCTCGGTCTGTCTCGCTCCCTTCCCCTAGCGCAGGGATGGAGCTAGTCACCTTGACTACACAGCCATGTGACCCTTCAGAATAAGATACTTTTTTCTTACACTTGACCGTTCTAACTGCTGACAAATAAATAAACTTCACACAGTTTCAAATAAAACAAAATAAAATACATGAATATAAATCACACTGTCTGTAACTTTTATTTTATTCTTTTATTATTATTTATTCATTTGAAACTATTTTGCCCTATTTATTCTTTCCTATTTACGCATTTTATAATTATTTATTATGAAATAGTAATTAGTTAATTCGAGTGAAGGCTATTTTAACCTGGGTTACAGTTGCACAGGTAAGAGTCCATTTGTGGTCAAGATTCTTATTGAACCAAAAAAGAACTACTGGAATATTTTAGTACATTAATAGTATATAGATTGATGTACTTGTTTCATACTTAAATGTGTACTTTTGTAAAGTTAAAATTGATTTTATAAAAGTATTCTTTTATTAAGACAACGCCGTTTAGTCCACAGATGTCAAACTCCAGTCCTCAAGGCTGTCCTGCAGTTTTTAGATGCTCCACAGGCACAAAACCCTGGAATGAAATGTCTTAATTACCTCCTTCTTGTGTAGATTAGTTCTCCAGAGCCTAAATGACTTAATTGTTATATTCAGGTTTGGTGAATCATAGGCTCATCTAAAAGTTGCAGGACACTTTGAGGACTGGAGTTTGATTCCCAGTCTAACAGATCATTAACTGAATACACTGCTGCATGGCACATAGTAGAACTTGCTATACTTAAGCTGATAGTCAAGAATACTTACTGAAATAAATGTCAACTTTACCAGTTTTTTAAAAGGGGCTGTGAGCGTTTCTAGTAAGATGTAACATTCTGCTTTACTTCTCTCCAGCTCTGCTGTCTCTATGTTGGGATTTCTCTGCTGCTGGTTTGCATGTGATGTGGCTCGTTGTTGTGTTGTAATGAATCTTCCAGCGGGTATTTCAGCATTTTCCGGTTCTTTGCGTGAAGAGGAGGTGTGCCCACTTTACCTCAGGTCGGCTAAGACAGAGAAATATCTCCTGTTCCTGGGAAGTTCTGCCTGAAACTATGTGATACGTTAAACTAGGTTGTTCTACATATACTGAATCTATAAACTTGAATCAATTCTTCTCTTGACACAATCTTAGTCAAGCTGTTCTAAATGTTGAACTCATAAGTAGGTCAATCTACAATATAATATGACCTAAAGTTTCAAGAGGTCATTGGTTGTATACACATCTGGTTACCTAGACACACCCACAAATCCCTATTGCTGCAGGGCAGAGATATGCAGACGTCTGATTCTGTTTTTAAACAAGATTGTCCTGAAAGATGAAATTGGACCTGATCAAAACACAAACTCTAAGTTGGAGTTTAGGCTTGCCAGTTCCACAAACCAGTTTGTTCTTTTTATCTAACCCGAAAGGACCAATCACAAACTCCCAAAATGAAATCACATTCCTTCAAGGGCACGTGTTGACTTGACTCTGCTCACCTGAACACGACACTGCAAGGAGTCGTTCTCTCTCTGCTGCAGAAACAGTCCGGATTGCATCAAGACAACACAGATCTTTCGGTAAGTGAAATTTTCTTTCACTTGGGAATTTACAAATTTTGCTGTTTAGTGGCTTTAGTACGTGAATGGGATCTGGTCACACACAGATAAGTTTCATTTTACACTGACTGTGTTAGGAAGTGTGGGTGACTACTATGTCAGTAGAGACTCACCACAGAGCGAGGAATGAAAACTAGTCTGAACAAAGTCATGCAGCTTGAGAATGACCGCTTTATCCTTGGTTTACTTTAGATACAATGGCCTACTCCAAGCCCAACACCACCTTCTCTCTGGCTCTGCTCAGAAAGCTGAGTGAGGACAACAAGACTGCAAACATCTTCTTCTCTCCATTCAGCATCTCTTCAGCTCTGGCTATGGTGTTACTGGGAGCCAGAGGAGACACAGCCACTCAGATATCAGAGGTGATCTTGTACTTTGATATCTGGTCTATGTTATCTTGTACAGTGCTCTTTTTTCAGTCTTTTGCTAGGTAGGTAGTAGCTGACGCAAGAGCTTATGACAATGTTACATAAAGCTTATTTTTTGTCCAATGTGTCTTCTTGTAACCACCCTCGTCTTCTGTCTCGGCAGTGCTTGGAAACCGCGAACTGTCAGGACGATGTCCACGTTCTGTTTGCCAAATTACGGAATGAGCTCAACAAGCCGGAAGCTAAATTTGTTCTCAGTGTTGCCAACAGACTGTTTGGAGAGAAGTCCTACAGCTTTCTGCAGGTGAGAGAGTCATAATACACATTTTCATTACCAAATATACATTCACGATGTGCTTCATTTGGGTACACTTCTAACAGGTTTTTTTCATCACAACTAGAGAATCTTTCAATCAGACATGGCATCTGCGGCGCAGAGTTCCACTCATTCAACTCACTTGCTTTTGTTTGAAACGAGAATCAGAGTAGAAAAGAAAAGGGATTTAAGGGACTTTGAGCATTTCATTGTTATTTGTGTTGGACAGGCAGTTTGTGTGTACTTCAGAAACACACAAATTGTGTTAGTACCTAACAGTACTAATTCAACCATATGTCTAGACGACAGAGCACCATCGAGAAAAATATCCAGTGATTGGATATGATTAACACAGTTTCACCAAAATTAGACAAAGAACAGATTTTAAGAACATTGTCTGGATGTCACATAGCTTAGATAATCTCAATTGATTTCCTAAAACATGACAATGATTAGATTGTACTAAGAAGACAACTAGCTAAATCTATTGTACAAAGAACTGAAGCACTTCTGAAAGCGAACCTTTTGGTTGCAGACCTCTTTAGATAAACCTTTCTTTACCTAGTGGCCTGTCAGGGTACACATGTCAGTTTAAATTGTTTTATGCATGAAACATACCAAAGACAATTTCTTTGGACAGGTTCTGTGACAGTAGGAAATCAGTAAAATTATACTAAAACCAATGAATCGTCATACAAAATCAGTAAGTAAATTCGTGACTGAAGGCAATTGTTTTTAGCATAAATACACTTGATGGATCTTCTTTTTGTTCTCCCAGGAGTTTTTAACCCAAACAAAAACTCACTACGACTCCAAGTTGGAGGCTGTGGACTTCAGAACCAAATGTGAGGAAGCCAGGATCAAGATCAACAACTGGGTGGAGGAGAAGACAAAAGGTGGATCACACACACTGACACACACACACCATCTGTTCATGACCCCAATGTCAGTGTCAGTTTATTTATAAAGCACTTTAAAAACAGGTATTAATTGCATCAAAAGTGCTGCACAGTATTCATAAAAACCACCATTAAAAAATACAATGATGATTACGAACTCTAAAGATTATCATCGCCATCTAGTGGAACAGTGTGTAACAGTGATGTTGTTAATTAGGCTGCGTTTGTGGTGCAGATTCTCATCAGATCCGTGTTCTGCTCATGTTGTCGTCAGGTAAAATCAAGGAGATGGTGGTTAAGGGCATGGTGAGCGACATGACCAAGATGGTGCTGGTTAATGCCATCTACTTTAAAGGCAACTGGAATGAGGCCTTCCAGAGATCAAAAACCCGTGAGGTTCAGTTTAGACTCAACAAGGTAACAACGATCACCAATACAGAGTATTTTCTCAATATGTAGGTCTTTATCATTGCTGTTCAAAATAACAATCTTGCTTTTATAGTAACTGTTACTTGAAATGACTATGTTAATGTGGAGGGATTACTCCATTATGCTCCCAGGCTACAAAGAACCTCTATAATGTTCTTCCAGGTTTTTCTTGGTCTGCCCAGTGAAATGTACAAACTTGAGGTGGTAAGAAGGAATCCTGAACACATGTCTAAACATCCCCAACTAAATCTATTGGGCGATAAGAACCAGAAGCTTCAGTCTTAGAGCTTCTGTCCACCACCCTCATCCCCTGAAATGATGTAACAACAAGGTTGTGATCACTTGACGCCTGCATCCCATTCTTTACCAAGTCCTCAAGACAGAACTCCAAAGGTCTGGTGATACGATTGAAACAATTGGTAAAAGGCCATCAGCTGGTTATGCTAGATACTCACATTCGTCTGCTAAACGAGCCCTTAAGTTTGTTTCGCATGGGAAACCAGCAAACAAATTTAACTACTAGATACTAATCACCTTCAAGGAAGTGCCCTGGTCTCCATAGTCCTATCACTGTGGTCTCCACAGTATCGTAATTGCCCGAACAAATGAGAAACCAGAGTCATGAAATCCTCAAACTTCATGACTCTCTAAAAAAAAAAAAAAACACTAGATTTTTGTCCAATTATTGATCTAACTTAACTCATCCTGAAAGGTATTGTTCTTTTTTAGGTTAATGAGCTGTTCCTGTTTTTGTCCACAGAAAGACACAAAACCTGTGCAGATGATGGAACTTAAAAGCCAATTCAACCATGCCTCCATTGATGAAGCCAGCTGTGAGGTATTATTGACCTTGAGCTCACAGGTGGAAGCTGAAATTGTGTAATCAGAAATATGTGAAGTGAGGCAGAGAATTTAGACTCTCATCAGCTGCTGCAGTTGGGAAGAGAGTTACCTGTAAAGCAGCAGTAACTCAAATGCCCTGACTGAACTTGCTCAGAAAATAAGCAAACTTCATGTGGCGAGTTACTATGAATCAAGCATATTTGAGAGCCTGCACGTCTCTGTAATGCCTTGCACCTTGTCTTGGGCAGATTCTGGAGATTCCCTATGAAGGGAAGGAACTGAGCATGCTCATCTTTTTACCAAGACAGATAGAAGATAACGAAACAGGTCTGAAGAAGGTAAGGCTCTCTGTGCCTCACAGACTGATTGAACCTCACCACCGACACACGTCATGATCGATTTATCACCTGATCAGCTGGAGGACCTCCTGACGTATGAGGCATTCATGGAGTGGACTCACCCACATGAGATGCAAAGCGGTGAGGTTGTGGTGAAGCTGCCTCGATTCAAGCTGGAGGAGAAGTATAACCTGAACAAAGTCCTGAGCAGCATGGGCATGGTGGACGCTTTTGACGAGACGAAGTGTGACTTCTCTGGTGAGACGTGTGGAAGGAGACTGAGATGTTTTAGATATAATTAAGTGGGCCGTGGGTGCAGTGGGTCCCAGAACCAGGCCCTTAGGTTGTCAAATTATGATCAAGGCTTTTGCTTTCAAAATGGACTTGTTGACGGAAAATATCAGCCCGAAATTTAAACTACATAAAACCTTTTTGGTTACTTTTCTTAAAAATTGTCCTTGCTGATGAGGGGCATAACGGGATAAGTTGCATTATCCCGTCAATGCAACTTCTGATTTTGAGGTTAGTAAGCAATCCTACTAGAGTTTAAATCGAACAGACAGAGAGAAAAATATGGAGCCTCAAAGTGTTCCTCTGCTCTCAATTGGCCAGTCCCCTTCACTTTGACATAAAGATACGATACCGCTGCCCTCACCTGAGCATCAGGCCTCACAAATAATTTCTATCCACGTCAACAATAGTGACAGTAATATTAATAGTGAAATAATATTCAGTGCAAAGTAGCCTACAATTTCTTTGATGGGGGGCAGTGAGGGACCTGGATAATGATAAGGGGTGCTGGTCCAAAAAAGTTTGAGAAGCAATGCTCTGGACTGACGTTCCTCCCACGAGCGTCAACGGCTGTAAGTGGGCTAAATGGTGAAGGTAAGGAGCCGTAAAATGCCGTAAACATATCGCTTTAGAACCTCGAAAAGAAAGGCTCAGCTCTGTGGCATTTGGATCTCAAATCTGAACGTGTCACACAAATTGTTCAATTTTATCTGTACTATTCCTTCATGGAGGCACATTCTCTGTGATAAAAGCAGCTCTTTTCTTTTGAATACTGATATGTACTTTTGGTTGGATGTATTCTTAAAGCTGTGGCCCATAATCCTGGAATTTCTCTTCTCTTATCTGGGACAGGAATGTCAAGCAACAAAGGGCTTTTTTTGTCACAAGTCTCCCACAAGGCTTTTGTGGATGTGAACGAAGAAGGAACTGAAGCTGCTGCTGCCACGGGTGGTTTGGTGGCAGATAGTGTGTCCTTCTTCACAGCAGACCACCCCTTCCTCTTCTTCATTCGTCATAGAATCACCAAGACCATTCTCTTCGCTGGACGCTTTTGCTCCCCCTAGCATGTTCTATAATTATGAAGCAGGCAGGCTACTAAACTCCAGACTCTGAGGGATAAAGTCCTGCCGGTTCTTGACGTCCCCCTAGTTCAAGAAGTTTAATGAAATGGATGACTTGCCTCCTGAACATGCAATCTAGTTCTTCGTAGTCAAACTAATAACCAATGGGCAAAAAATTCTCACCAGCACACTCTATACCCCATAAAACGACCAAAACAGCAGCCACACTTGTCGCTGTCATCCACAAGATTGCACTGTTACAAAGGTCACCGAGTCCTTTTCCAGGCAGTCCGTGTTTGCACTGGAGTAAAGGTTCTAGGATAACCATTAGGTGGAAATGAACTTATTTGAATGCAAACGTTTAATTGTTTTCCAGTGTTAAGCTATCAAATCTTTCAGCGTTAAGATCAGAGACCGTCGTTCCCCTGGGTGTACTGACATAAACTGTGAAATCATCTGTATTCACTCTGGTTCAAAGCGGCGTAATGATGGGGTGTTATTGTTTTTTAAATGACAATTTGTTGCCATATTCTTTAACAATTTCTATGGGCTACATTCAAGTTTCAAAAGGATTTTTTCAGTTGTCAAACTTGTTGTTGTCTGGACAAAAGTGTGGAAAATCCATGGGCAATAAATGGCTTTAAGAATCCCAGTAATTGTGTTGTGAGATGCAACTCTTATAAAACATAAATAATCATGTGACCATCTGATTTTCTAAGTTTAGAAGATTAATTGCCAGTGAAAGAGAAATATCTTAATTTCTGCTTATTTTATAAACAACAGGCTCATGGGTATTTTAATTAGGCAGAATTACATCACTCTCTGAGATCATTGTAACATCGCATTATTCTTAAAAATTAAAACGAATATGGTAGGTGGAGTCTGTAAGGTCACACACATATGGACAATAGGTGGCGGTCTGCACCTCCGAATTTGTTTGGAATCCATTAATAATAAGAAGCTTAATAAAAGAGTTTAAGAATAATAAGGATGTATTTTCTGTCATGATTACAGGCCAAATGGTTTTGTAGAAGTTTTCAAGATAATACTACTACTTCTAATAATAAAAATACAAGGACGGAGGACGTGTGGATATGTTCACATAAGCAGTAATTGCATGTACTGAAGAGCAGCAGGGACTCAAATCTCTGCATGTATTTATTTGCCAGCACTTGTTGCTGCAACAAGACGAAATGTGTTCATGTACATTTACTCCTCCACATGTTGCATGTCATACTGTCATACAAATCTAAATATCATCAGGCTTTCCTTGTATGAAATTAACATAGTTTCATGTTTCTTGTGGCATAGCCAGACATAAACTGTGATGAACATTAACAGATATGTTATTTAGTAATGTTTAAAAAAAAGTTGGCATTTTTACTCATGTTGCTTTTGCAAGTTGCTGTACGTGGGCCTGTGTGAGCAGTTCATTGCATCATGGAGTGAAATGAAGAAAGTCACTTTCCGTAACTCCCTCCCAACATTCACACCCAACTAACCTTAGTCACTGTAAAGTGGCTGACTCTTCTCAACTGAAGATTTCTGCTGAATTTGATTTTTTGTTGTTGTTTGTTTTTCATTAAGTTTGACCTTTTCAGGTCAAAATGGCACATAAGAAGTGTGAGACTGATCCTTCAAAAATGACCAACACCTGATGATAACTAAAAGGTTTAATTTAGATTTATTTCCATAAATATGTATTCATTTTGTTGCTTCTAATCAGATGTTAGGAAAAACTGATTGAAAATCCTGCTGCGTGATGAAAGTCTACCTTTGACGGGTGGTTACTCATTTTTTTCCTGCTTGGTTCCCACCTTCCTGTGAAGAGGTGGAGGTGTGGTTCCTGTGATCTTATTCTTGCAACATAATCTGGCATTGGCAGCACCAGACCCAGAGGGTTTCCAGGTCTCAGACTTAAAATCATCTGAAGAGGTGCAAAGAGAACATTGACGATTCAGAAATATCTGTACTCAATATTCTCCACTTCTATTTCCTTTAGAAACTGTGTTAAACTTCTACCAGTGCATTACATTTTCTTGCATTTGTTGTCATAGAGTTTTGCTAAATGAATAAAGCAATATATCTTGAGTAAATTAATTTAAGGGAAAAAAATTGTTTCAAACGTGTTTGGAAAATGATTTGTCACAGGTGTGTTGTCTAGTAGTATTTATCAAAAGAAATTGAGGATAATCAAAGCATCTAAATACAAATAAGTAATCTTAAGACTATCAGTTTTACTTAATAAGATTTAGATTAAGCAAAATTTCCCTAATTTACTGAAAATTCTTTAGCTTTGTGCTTAGTATAATTTTCTAAATATATGCATCTATATTTATATATAAGATATATAAAATTTAATTTTGTGTTATTTAAATTTTCTTAAAAATTTTTGTCCAAATTGTCTCTAGGTTGTTTTTTTTTTTTTTGAGTAAATCTTACCCGTTGGTTTTTTCAGGATAGGATAAGTTTTTCCTTTATACACTAAATGTGTCACAGTTTGCTAATTCGTTGACCAATACCTATAAATAAACATTGACTGAGCGTTTATTTAAAAAAAAAAAGAAAAGTAAGACATTTCAGTTGATTTGTTCAAACAATTCATCGACTGAATGAGAAGTTTGTTTTTTTTCTCAGCCAGAGATCCGTCTTTAAGCTTCACGGATTTATTTTTTATGGTATTTTCAATTTATCATATGGAAACAATGTTTGAAGGGGTGACCTAGCCCTCCACCACACCCACAAATTAGCTCCAACAAACAAAGAGAGGTCTGATTTCTCAGAGAAGCTGCTGCGCAACCTGGGCGTGTGAAACATCCACACAGGTGGGACAGTATTTTGTGAGAATAAAGGTGTTGTCTCTCACCGATTGATTTTAGCCTTGAAACTGGTAAATGTGAGCCATCCAGTCAGTGACCTTAAGATGCCACCAAGTGTAGCGCTGTTAGTGATTTAGCTCAGGAGGAAGTTTGCCTTTCCACATAGGTGCTAGTGCTTTGGCTAACTTTTTATCCTTTAATAACTTTAAATGCTTTTTGTACATTCTCTGGTTGTCTTAATAACAACTGGCATGAAACCATTCTTGATGATTCAAATGTGACCCAAAAAAAAAGGTGCTGCAGGAAGAGAGGTATAATGAAATAAAATTGACCTGTTAGAACATAAAATATCCAAAGTTATTAAATGGAAATATTTGTAATGGAAAAACCTTTTTTTTTTCAAAAAAACAAAACTGTTGAGACACAAACACACCCACAAAGTCACACTGTCCTCAATTCACATCAATGTGAAACACTGAAAACATACAAAACCTAGGATTAAAAATCAATTCTGTCTCAAAACTTAAACTAAAAATGTATTGTGCATCCTGTAAACATTCATTGACTGAATCACAGAATCACAACTCAACCAAAGTCATAAACATGTTCAAAGGTTAGTGTCATGCTATGTATCGTGGAAACTTATTTTGCACAGGGAAACAAAATCTCTGCCGTAATATTTATTTTATTAGTAGAGTACATACATTGAAATATTATCTCACTATGTTGATTTTTTTTTAAGAGAGTGGCGGAAAAGGATTTCCATGCAATATTATTTAGCTTCTGATGTTACTTTTTCTGAAAAAGATCTCAGAGTTAAAACCACAAGATAATATTTGTTATTATTATTATTATTATTATTATTATTATTATTATTATTATTATTACTACTACTAATAGTAGTTGTAGTAGTAGTAGTATTAGGCGTTGCAATAAAACTTTTTCTCAGCTCAAGCCGAAGCTTTTAATGTTTATCCCCTCGGCTTCCGTAGACAAGACATTTGCGGAAGTTCATTATTATTTTGTCTGACGGGGTGTGTCCCCGGTGTCAGAGATAAAAACCCTGCGCTTTCAGCCAGCGCTCTTCATGTGACCCAAACTCTTTCTGTGGAGCACACGACGAGCGTCCGACAGTGAGTACAGTTTGCGTCCTTTCTGGTTTCCCAGCGAAACCCCCAGAAGTAATGGAGAACAAATGCGCTTTCTGACAGTCTAATGTTGCAGCTTTGAAGCTCTCCGTGGTTGAACTAATTTGTTGCATCCGCTTGCAGTTTGACTTTATACTTCTGAGCTTGTTCTGTTCGTTGCGGTTTATCTCGTGGAGTTTGACTTCAAAGAAGAGTGAAAACCTGTCAATGTTCTCATGAATTAATCTCCGTCTTTGTTTCACTGTCCTCCAGACACGATGGCAGCAGAAGCAGCAATCACCCCTCTGGCTTCAGCCAACACCAGCTTCTCTCTGGCTCTGCTCAAGAAGCTGGGCGACAAAGACAACACCGCAAACGTCTTCTTCTCTCCGTTCAGCATCTCCTCGGCTCTGGCCATGGTGTTGCTGGGAGCCAGAGGAAACACAGCCGCTCAGATGTCAGAGGTGCAGTCAGGGTGAAACACACTCCCCCCTATCTGAACTGTCACATCATTGGCATTCATCACGAGTGATTTTTCTTTTTGTTAGCACACTGGTGACACGTTTCCCCACGTTTGCAAAAAACATTCAAGGTTCAGAAATGTTCAAGGGAGGTTTTGTTAAAAGATTATAAGGAGCTACCTGCAAGGAAAAACCTCTTGTTTCGTCTTCATTTATTTCAGTTGCTGTGAGTGTAGCTCAAAGTTTTTCTGAACTCGATCAAAAGAGGCGGATGTTAGAGGAAAAATGATAACGTGTATGTACAAAGCAGATGTCTGTGGAGTTGCGTTATAAGTATTTCCAAATACGCAGTCGATATGCTCCACAAATTGTGTCTTGTTCTCTTCTTGTTGGGGAGCACATGGCACCTGTTTGTAAATGGACCATGGATCCTGAAGCAACAGGAAATATCTGTTGCGATGAAGTTGGCATCAAAGTAGGCATGGATTAAAAGCAAAAGATATCATGATTGTTCAATGTCACACAGGAAGGGAAAGGGAATTAAATAATCAGCCTCTGAGTGGATAATAAACCGTTGAAAGGTTAATAAAATTGCGTCTGTCTGAACTTCTGAGATGTTTTTGGCATTAGAGATTTCCTAGGATGATGAAAATCCTCTCAGTATTGAGTTTAATATCCAAGCTTTAGGAAACTCCGACTTGTCTTGTTCTCTTCCAATCAGCAGGAATAATCTGAACTGCTTTTTTTTTTTTCTTTACGTGGGTCAAATCTGTGGTTGCGTTGCTACAGGAACAGGATAATGGCTGTAGATGTTTAACTCTGGTTATCAGGTCTCATTATGTGCAGTAGGCATGCCCAACCGTTTTTATGAGCGGCCCTTCTCAAAGTTCGGGCTGCACGAACGCCGGCCGTCATTTCAGTGAACTGGCTCATTCACATTTCGTAATCTAATTATTTAACAACTGAAGTGAGAACTTTCTGCCGACGTCCGCCGTGCATTGTTGACTCGGCAGCGATGGAGTTCCCACCAACCATATGAGAATAAATGGAGCATTAGTCTTTATTTGCTAGCGGGTTTTCCACTTTAGCAGAAAGATTCTGGGGCTGTTTTCCAACTCAGGTGAAAGTTGGTAACAGCTTCTAACAAACTGGGACCACAGAAGCCCAGCCACACCCAGTTAAGTCAAGCTGGTAAATGTTTGTAAAGCAGAGCCTCACCCGTAATCTGCCCTGTAGCTCAGGTTAAAGAAACAACTCCATCCGGTGGAAATCAGTACTGTTTTCATTGCAACATGCTCACTGTAAAGTGTTTTATTCCAGTCAGGGATTTGTGCATTAACTTGCAGGTTTTAATTGTGTGTTTGTGTTTTTTTTTACTCATTGTTCAGGATTAGGGACACATTTATTAATCCGAGCCGCCAGTCGATGTGCTTTACACAGATTTTTTCTTTTCTTCAACGTAAAGAAGTTTTCATTTTTCCCTACACATCAAATAACATCCCTCCTTTATGAAGGAGGGAACTAGGGACCCAACTTGATAGGGAAAATGACAAACTT